TTTGCATTTGCGCGCCATCCGGAGCCATAGAAAATAAATCCCAGCATGCAATAAATGTGGTAGGGCTATGCTTCCCCTTTGCTGTCCCTGATATGATAAGCATGTTAAAGGTCTGTTATATCATTTGATTATAAGCATGGTCAGTACCAGAACTCCCTTATTATGGCCTGGCTTCTTTCATAGAGCGGAAAATGGCAATTGTATCGAATAAACAGAACAAAACAGAAAACTGGACTGAGAGACGAGACGGTCAAAATTCAAGTTGGTTTCGTAAACCTGTGTGGAAACTTGGTTGAGCGAGTGTAAAGGCACAGTAGTGAAACACGTGTTACGATTTGCTTCTGTGAACATTTTAGCCTAATTACTGTCAGAATAAACCTACTCTAAGTTTGTCAGAATAAACACTACGGTCGTTCCACGCAAAATTATACTTAACTAAGAAAAACCGCAAGAATTATATTTTAACACACAAACCACGATATTGAAATTTAGGCTAAGCTTAATTTGTAGACGAATATTTAGACCATCTCTGCACCTGACAACTTTCAAACTCAAATTTCGAGCTGCCCATGAAAATCAGTTTCATAGAATCAATTCAGCTAGGATGGTATAAATGCATGCTTGTAGGTCGGAATTCACTCCGTTAAATAACACCAGTGTGCTACAACAAATGTAGCAATAATTTATCACTGACTCAGCAGCTGATATATAATAGCTTGATTTTATTAATCGGCACTGTAAGTTTAAAGATAAGTAATTTTAGCTTTTTTTCGAGAAACTCTTTTGGTTCACGAATAACACAATCATTGACATCATTTCTCGAAAAGTCTTAAGCTCCCTCCCCCTACCCGCACCCCCCGGAAAAAGGCGAAAAGGCTAACAACGACCAGTTATGATTTACTTATGATAAAAAATAAATATCAATACAATACAATATATCACAATATCGCTTACAAGTGTTTTTATATTGAAAAATGAAAAGCTCATCATGTCGCGAGCATGGGACAAAGAAAAATCTGTTTTCATGTTGTTTCATGACTTGTTGCATATATCAGCACAGTGCAAATTTAAGATCGCGAAAATCGGCATGTATGCCGAAGTAACCATCCGAAAACAGCAATACAAGGCTGCATGATTACACACGAAAAAATTGTACCTTTAGTTGTAACTTAGCGCTATGGTTTTGTATGTTTTGTTAGCCGTATAAGGAAGAGCGGACTACCCGAGTTTATTTTTACGTTTTAGAAGACTCGACATCGCTACGCAGCGGTAAGTAGAGTGGCTGAAAGTTGTGCGGCAAATATGTCAACCGGTTACACATAGTTCACTCAACTGTCCAGACTATGCCGGAGAAATTTGAAAACGCAGCTTTATTTCTACAGTTACGCCTTCCGTCCACACTAATCCGTCACGAAAACGTAGCTTTTCGAAAAGGCTCTTCAAACAGGAGGAATCTCAAAATGTCGGCTTTGTGTTTTAGTGTTGACGGAAAACATTTGATGCGTTTTTGGATGGAAAATTAAAACGCCGTTTTAAGTCAGTTGACATATTTGCCTTAGTTTTCTAATCATTTTCTTATCTTGTAATAAACTCAGCGACATTACACCTGGTCGGCGCTAACGAAACTTTTTTTTTTGGAATAGATAATGACGTGTCGTTAGTGTATTATTATCTCTGTCGCTTTCTTAGAAGTCTTGTAAATACAGTTCACTTCTCCGATGGTCTCTCCGGTGGGGGTCTTCGTTATAACCGCGAGAAAAAATAATTTTAGCGCAATACTGAATAAGTGTTAACCTTATCTTGCTGGGTAAAGAAATATATATTCAGTTGGCTATTATAAATTATACATATCGAGTCTCGATTTCGCCAAACTGAATAATGCAGTTTTCTGTTCACTTATGACAGGAAGTTCCATGCGAACCCGTTAAGTTTAATAGTTCAATGGCTTTGAAAGAAATTTTGAACCGAGATACTTGTTTTCGCCGCTTTGCGCCCCAAAAATTTACCAAGGATTAAAAAAGCGAAAAACTCTAAACCAGGGTACAAAATGATAGAAAGAATTCAATGAAAGAGGTGAACTCTAAGAGGATAGTCAGCTAGATTTTTGAGATCAGAACTAGTTGGCAATAAAATAATTATTATACTACGAAAAAAGAAGCCATTATAATTCAGTGACTTTACATGCAAAGTCGCGCATATACACGTGCCTGAAAGTTGGTTTACGAACCATACTGACATACATAACATAACAGCTTTATTTAACCAACGAGGAATGAACTTTTTACAGTTCTAACGTTTCTAATTTTCCATTTAAGACATGTTATCAAAGGTAATATGCGCTTACGTGTCTTTGGTGTTGATCCATTGCCTCTGAAGTTATCTTCTGCCTCTCCACCTTCTTGTATCCGTCTCAAACTGGACTGTTTGTACTTGTTTACTCGTTTCGGCATAGCCAGACAATCTTTTGAAAACTTGTAACGCGAACGACGAGTTAAAAATACCTCCGTTGCATAAATTTGCGATTCTGTCTCAAGTTGCTTATCGGATTAAACTTGTCACCGTTAGAAACAACATGATTGGGCGAAGTGGAAAAATAAGTCCTCGCGATTGGTAAAGTTGTTCAACAGTGTGTCTCGTGCAAGTCCAAAATATGTTTGCAGTTATTATTCATCTTTATTCACTTCAAGAAACAGTTCATCGCCATTAATTCACCGGCCAACCATAAGCCACAAACTTACAAACATCATCCATAATTTACAACGTTTAAATGGGACGATGATTAAAATTTATTTGTGATATCAGGTGTTATAAATTTTAGAATAGCTAGAAACAGTCGTAGGCATATATACGGTATATTGAATATGACACTTATAACGAGTAAATTCGAATTCCAAAAAAACTCTCACTTGGACTGAATAGGCATGACCAGGAGATCGATTTGCCAGTTACATGCGATTTTAACACTATGATCGTCAAAGAAAAACAATAAATCTTTATTTGACACGTTTCCAAGATGATCACGCAGAAGACAGTATCTTAGCGACAAAATGTGTACTCTTAGCTCGTTTAATTTAAGAAAGAATATATCAATTAATGATTAATTGGTTTTGATGAACAATATAATTAAACCTGGGGGACTGTTTGGTAAGTCGTTTACTTTCTGGCCTAGTTAGCGATACGTTGGCGACCTTTGCACTAAGAGTTGTAATTGCTTATATTTTTCTTTACTCTTAACGCTGCAAACATTACAAAGCTCAGTCTGCTGTCCAGTCACGGTGTTACTGACTTCTAAAGGGTTTCCATGTTTCTTGCCTGATACACTTTACTGGCTTGAAAGTTAAGTACATCAAGTAAGAAATGTAAATTTGGTTTAACAACAAGCTGTATGTCTAGTTCGTTCTCTTGTTTACCCATGAAGTATGTAACGGTTTTAGGCACTTGCTCTGAAAACACCAGCCAACGAATTAAAGAGCGAACATTTTACCTAGCTTGAAATCGGACCTGTATAATTGTTTTCAGCTCGTCTGAACTCGTCGACAACTTACTCCACCTTGCTTTTTTTTTTCTCAATTCAATAATTAATCAAGACGAAGATGGTGCCTATAAAAATCGCCTCCTTAGATACACGACCCCTCAAGCATGTAGTGCTTAAACGATAATCGTGTTTTAAATAAAGGATTTTACTTTACTTTACTTTACTTCTCGATCCTTCCGGCAAAATTAATGATAGCATGTTGACCGCGCCAGCATTTGTTTACCTGTACATTGTCACGTATAGCAGCATGGAATCACTTGTTTACTTTTGTTGATCCTGCTATAATCACAACTGAGTTAAACAACATTCACTAATAGTCAGTGGTATATATACTTCAAGTAAAAATTTAATCCGTATTAATGGAACTCACTTGAACATTCTCACTCCGTGCATCAGCTAAAAGCGCCGCGGGAAAATAAATACAGGAAGACAGAGGTGAAGTCGATTGGACTTATGTTTGAACTTATATAAATTTGCGAAGTTTTAATGATAAATTTGCGAAGTTTTAATGATAAATTTGCAAAGATTGCTCTCACAGTACTTTTTAGTAATCAGGGGTGTAGCCAGCCATTTTTTCCATTTAAGCCCAAATTGTACAGCACAAGTCGTATATCAAATTTTGCCAACGTCCCCCCGCCCCAAAAAAGAAAACAACAGTCAACTAAATTTTCGTGCGCAAAAATATTTCAAAGTTCTGCTTTGTTAATAACCTTTCAGCATTTTTCATGTATAAGATTGAAAGTAATTATTTTGTTTTTCAAAATGAAACATTGATATAGCGGCTATTCGCTATTGGATAGTAAGAAAAAGAAAATATGGCCTTTCGGCTACTAAAAAAAAAAAATGTTTACAGAATTCGAAATTTAAGCCCGTGCTTAATGGCTTAAAGGCTAGCTACGCTCCTGGTGATAAACGAGCGTGTGAAAGGAAAATGCGTTGGAACCCGCCGGGCTGCTCGATCTGCAGGATGAGGCCCCGAGTTTCCTGTTTGACGTAGTTGTCGTAAACTTTTGGAAACATGTCAAAACTAGGACACTTAGCGTTATTCGATGCAGGTGCACATATGAATTAAATTTAAATATAGGGTCCAAACTGTGGATTCACGGTTCTGAATTTAGCTTTCACGGTTACTTCTGAGTAAGGAGACTAACGTTTTATAGTGTCTGCATGAACACTCTACTTTTTTGAACACTGTCAGTGACATCGACTCTAAGCATCACTGGTTCGTGACAGTCGTATTGTAGCACATACACCATATTCAAAATGCAGTTACCTGTATTGGTAACGATTGTTTAACCTGAGGCCAAAAAGCCAACCTAGTTTAGAATATGTTTCTCTGGTCATTTTCGATGCAGATGCTGCAATCTGATTGGCTGAGCTATCGTACATTATCAGCGATTGGTGTGCAGTCACTGGAGGCAGTTCACATAATGGCAACGTTCTCTTGTTTCTCCAATGTTTTGACGGAAAATTTAGAGAACATTACTTGCAAATTTTCGATGAACTGATGAAGGCGTGAAAACAGCTGTAAGTTTCAAATGACAGCCATTATTGAATAAATTTGGTTAGAACTCTGCTCAAGCAATTAGGATATTCACCCTCGATTTCCCGAATCGACCGGGCAAAAATTGAAAAATGCAGAAAAAGATATGAATAAAATCAATAGAAGCCGAAACCACTGTCAATTTGGGGACCCATATGCGGTGACTCTTCACTAAAGTTCAAGTTTCTGAGGGTGGAGGACTTTTTTGCCCTTTTAGCCTAATCTCTGGCGCTGACAGCGGATGGTTCTACTGTAATAGATTCCAACTATCCAACTACAACTATCATATCATATCACCCTATAGAGGTCCATAGAAAGCGACTCTCCAAGACTTACCAATGTAACAAGGTATGTAACAATGTCGGACGGAACTCCAGATCTTCGATCATCAATATTTTGCGTAGACTATGAGTAGTCCATCTTTAATTCGCTTAGTCCGTCGTGCGTGACCCGAAATAAAACCGCGTGATAAAAATGGCCGTGCGAAATCCTTGGGGGCGAGGAGCCAGGATTTCGCGCGGCCATTTTTTTCTCGTGGTTTTCTTTCGCGTCACGCACGACGGACTAAGCGAAAGAGGGACTACTCATAGTGTATAGGTGCTTACCATTTAGCAAAAAAAATCCGGAAATTTAGGTTGAAAGTCAACTGGAACAGTAATTTTCCGGAAAATCCGTTCGGAAATTGTGGACTACCTTCAGAGGTAGTCCTCTTTTTCCGTTCAGTCTCTCATCAGCCGAAAACAATTACGAGAAATCGAATTGCAAATAGTAAGCGCCATCTCGTTCGGTTGGTTTGCTGATTTTGGAAAAACCCTTACTACCATTACAAAAAAATCCCAACCGGTTTATTCTGACAAATGGTAAGCACCCTATATTTTGCGTAAGTTATCCAAATTCTTTCGTTGTGCGCTGGTTCACATATTTATGGGGAAAGCAACCTAAGATCAGGCGTTTTTTGGGGGGGGGAGAAGGGGGGAGGAGGGAGGGAGGGTATGATCGCAGGTTTTCTTCGCGCAGCGCGTGCATTCCTTGCATCTCAACATCTCTTGTGACGTCACTCAGAGATCAAGTGAACTCGTAGAACTTCGCAACAGCAAGGTTTTAAGCAATTGTGGAGCAACCATTGATTGTTTTGTTTCGTTGCTTCCGACAGAATTCACATTTTAGTCCATTTGTAAGATGTCTCAGCTACATCAGGAAGCGTTAAGAAGGCAACACGTTGTTGATAAGAGAAACGTGAACGACTTGTCCTGGTTGGTAAGTATGACAGCGTTCGTGCTAAACCACAGTCTTGCTTTGTTTTGCAAGCGAGCATCGGTTGATTCAAATTGCACAATACCTTACTTGTCGTTCAATAACCAGCTTAAAGCTGAGAAAAGATCAGAAAAGGCCTTTCAGTTGAGAAGTGAATGATATTTTAGTTGTTTGTTTGCAAAGGTTACTCAACTTCGTACATTTCTTGCATCGGTATGCTAGGATTCGTCTGAGTCAATCGTGCGTGCATTTCTTAGATCATTACAATTGCCAATTCTAACAGTGCTATGCCAATATCATTTAAGCTTATCTAACCACTTAAGTTTCATTCGCAGTTTCGATCTTAACCCTAATCAGGCGTGTTATTATCAAGTTATTGTAATTTAGTTAATGAAGTGTTGAAAAAGTACCCAGAAACCAATATTACAGCTGGCTCAGAATTATGACTGAAGAACAGGCTTTGCATCATCAGTAAAAGCGATGAAAATAAATGTTATCACTTTATAAAATTATTTCCATTTTGATGCTACATTTCAGTTGTGACCAACATATATGATGATGTACAGGGTTTATTAAGTCTAAAACTTAATCCATCCCCTTTGCTTTTCCCCAGGTATTACATAGTGAGGGGCCTGAATCATGGTGGTCACTCACCCCAGGGGGGGAGGGGGGAAATCCCCAAAGTGTTTGGTGTGGGGGTACATCCCAATCCAAGCAAATTCTGGTTTTCCATACCTTTCCGTATTTCAGATCTGGCTGAAAATTGATACCCAATTTCAGACCTCTAAAATTAATACAGGGCACTAATATATGACCGCAGCTAACCAGAATTAGCATCATCTGTGATTAATTACTGAACAGGTGCACATTAACATGGAATCTATTTGCTAGACAGGCATTGTTCACTGGTTCCTGAGAGGTACATGTGTTCCCTTATACCTCATGGTTGTGTACACATTTAGTTGCAGAAAGATGGCAGCCGTCAGAGTAAGCAGAATTCCAGCCTTGGCTTGAGAAGTACACACAGTGCCAGCACTCCCAGCCATTCATTGCACAGTGGATTAGCCATGTGCAGTAGTTCTGGCTCCAGGAGCAAAGAAATCGTGATCACTGACCCTTACTTAGATGCACTAACAAAGGAAACGAAAGCAAGGACCCGAAATAGATTAACAGTGAGTACTGACCAAGATGTTGCTAGGTACCAGTTGTGCACACAGACTGAATGGGCAGGTAGATAAGTGAATTATTGGGTCAAGGGATAGGGTGGAAGAAACCTGCAGTGGGGTAACAGAGGGTTGTCCAATACACCCGAAGTGAGGTGAGTTGCCAAACTTTGTAGTCAACTTGTCTTACCAGAAGATAGTGGTGAAGTACAAAATGTAGTCGTCTAACATTGTAGTGTAGTCTACTTACCGGAAGTTGATTCAAGGAGTAATTGCTGGTATATACAGGAAGTAAAGGTCGCAAGCGATGAGTAAGCATGACTTGACATGAGTTGTGTTATGGAGCAGTTGAGTCGTCAAAGCAAGACTTAGTGTAAAACTGGCTTGAAGACAATTTGATGGGGGGGGGGGGGGGGGGGGGGTCGATT